CACACAGACAACCTCTCGTCAATATGCGTTTTTCGCATTGCATTGCTGCAAAAAACGCATAGAAACTCAAACAAAGTGATCACTTTTCTCAAAATAATTTCCTAGGATCGAAGGGTCTGGCACAAGTGTTGAGCATCTCAGTAACATCACTAACATGGGATACCCACACCGACTGTCCAAACGATCCTGGTATTCTTAAAACTTCAGCTTCAGCAATATACGGAAAACAATAGTGAACAAGTGCCGATGCTCACCACATTGCGATTCTTCAGTACGTGCAGCCGTGCATATTGTTATCACTGATAACCACTGCTTATCAGTCGTCACTGGGAACGCATCCCTTTAACGCTCATTCAGCCTTTAATAGTCCAAAAATACAGTGGAATCATAGATTAGAATTTTTAGTTGCAATATATCGTTATTTTCACAAATCTACAAAAAATATTTCCAGAAATAAAATGAAATACACCTCTAGCATTCCCTGTTAATTGCCATAACCCCAGGCGGAGTGTCTGGGATTCCAGTAATCGTCAATGGAAATATCACTCCTTTCTCAGAATCATCTGAATAACACTTACAATTTTGCCTTAATTCAATAAACTATTAACTGAATCACTAACTCAACATGCTTAATTGCCGACAAATTGATACTGATAGATCCAGCACTCGAATTTCTTTTCAAACCTGTACTGAAATCATCCCGGGGAGCTTATCGACAGGTTTTTCTTTAATTTTGATAAGAACGCTGTCATTGAGGCCATGACGAATTCCATCAAGAATTTCTACTTAGTTCTTAAAGCCAAAAATGTTTTTGAGGATTTTTTTTCTCTCGTTTCAAGCCCTGGTTGCTGATAATTTACAAAAAGAGCAGAGTTCACATCACCTGACATGTACCTGTTTTGGGAGAGACGAAGTCACAAGTAATAAATCAATCTCGTCAACAAAAATATACTCGACTAGCGAGGACCGGCGAACATTTTTCTCTTTCACGAAATGCAATAAAAATGATCTTCTTGACGAATTCTTAACAAATTGCAGTAAAGATGACGAACTGATAAAAATCATTGTTTTTTATCATTAAGTGCCTAAAAAAAGATTGACTGAGGAGGGCTGCCCGGTATGCTGAACGTACCAGCACAATTTTGCTTCTGATTGAAATATCAACGAAGAGTTCTCTCACTCGTTTCTGTGAACCATTGGCTCGAATTTGTGTGAAAACTACTTATGCTAATAGCAAATCGACTGAAGATGAGAAAAAATAAGATGTTTATTCAAGAAGCAAAAGTATACACGAAAACATCAGATTACAGATAACATGCCATAACGTGTGCACGGTAGACCGTCTCATTTACACATTTCAGAGAGGCAAGTTACCCTGTATGGGACGTTGCTCGTTACTTGTATAGGACGTTGCTCGTTACTTGCATAGGTCCATCCTTCCGCGCTATATGCAAGTCAGAATCGAAAACCCCTGGCACAGTTATGCCCGTGCATTTGGAAACATTCCAGTAACGTCGCTGATATGGATTCTCCAAACCGGACAGTCATAGTGTTCTGGGTAGTTCTTACAAAAAGCAAAAATTATCGGAAAGCAAAAACGGGATTTAGTGCAAAAAGACAACTGTTGCTACTCTAGCAAACGGGCTAACATTTCTGCAAAGCAAATGTCAATCTTTTTTGGGACGAATTTGATGATACAAAAGAGCGATGAAGAATTTTCTGAATGATTCCTCAATAAACTGCAACAAAAATGATAAACTGATTAAAAAACCATAACAAAAGAATAACAAAAAATAAATAAATGAAACTGTAAAAAAGGCTATAACAAAAAAAAATTATGTTGAAAAAAATGATAAAAAGATAAAAATAGTAAAAAGGATAAGTAAAAATTATAATAAAAAATGTTTTGCAATAAACTCTTGCCAGCTCATCAATGTTCAACGAACACACACACACACACACACACATACATACACACACACACATACGTACACCATACTACGTCATAATCTGTTTCATAATCGATCCAGCAAAATTTCGTATCATAAATCCTTCCATTCTAGGATTGTCCGATTCGTACTTTGGCACAAAAAACATGTATTATATGACTAATCAATGGCTAATAATTTTAAATTTTTAACTTACGCACTTCGGAAATCAAAATTTGCTAATAGTTTGGAATTGAAGTTGCTAGTGAGCAAAAAAGTGATTTTAATCTTTACTG